ACTGGGTGCTGGGTGGCAGGATGGTGGGCAAGGGGCTGAGCCTCGCTTACCGTTGAGGTTAATGAAGCGGATGCAGCTCTCCACCACCAGGGGCACCGGCTGGCTGGAGCTCTGCGGGCAGAGAGGGCGTCGACCCAGGTGCGCCTGCCCTGCCACCCACGGCTTTGCACTCGGCTTTGCTCTCTGAACCATGCGCCTGTGGCCCCAATACTACCAGGTGACTTACACTGTATTTCCCACCTGCTTCCTGGTGGCAGGTGGAATTCTGGACGCTGGCCTTGTGCCGAATAACATTACAAACCACAAGCAGTGAATTTCAGTAATCTGAAGACTCCTCTCACCGCACATGACCCCGTCACTGCTTCTCTTATCTCACTGTCTGGGCCCCCAGCACCATTTTGATTAGGAGCAAGGCTTGGGGGTGTTCCCAGTCAGAGAGGACACAGTCTTGACACTGACACTGAACCCCTAAGATGCCAGGGAGCGTGGCTTTGTGCAGAGCCCATGACTAGATAAGGATGTCCCCTGTGATCGCTGGGGCTACAGGAACAGTGAGAGGTGACCCCCGTAGCTCAGGGCCAGAGAAATGCCTGAATGTCCAGAGAGGGCCAAAGCCAGTACCTGGATGAACTTCTCCATGTCTCCCCCAAAGAGCTTCTGGTTGTACCGAGAGCTGGGCCGGGGCCGGCGGCTCCTCTGTACCTTTCTCTGTGAGTACTGGGCCCTGCAATGAGGGGTCAGGTGTCCCACTCCACCACCCAACCGAACAGGGTGGGCAGAGCTCTGGAATCCACCGGGAGACTGAGAGCCCAGAGCTGGGCTGACGAAAAGCGGCGATGGGCCAGCCCCTCCCTGTTGCCCCGGAAGGGCCCCCATGAAGGCACTTGTGCCCAACTAACTCACCAGGACATGGCCCGCTCCTCCTTGTCACCTGCAAGGAGAAGACGCTGAGAGGAAGGCACGGCCCGAAGGCTCCAGGCAGTAAAAAAAAGCCAAGGGCAAGATCTAGGCCAAGCACCTTGCTGGGCTGTTTCCACTCAACCAAGCTCTCTGGGCAGAAAGGAGCATGGGCCGGGGAGGGGGGGCCCTGTGGGGTGGGAGCCGGGCCCACCTCGTCGGATGGCCTCCTGCAGTCGCTCGTGCTTGGCCTGCAGCTTGGCGAGGACGCTCCGGCCACTCAGATACTCCTGCAGCTTCTGGAGAGCCAAGATGGAGTCCGCACTCCCGGCGCGAGCCTCCCCTGCTGCCCCCACCCCAGCCTCCCTACCCACCGTGATGTAGAAGGTCTCAGTCTCCTGCTGCTGAGCCCGCTTCCGGCCGGCCTGTCGGACCCCTGGGTCTGAGCCCGTGGACTTGAGGGACTCGGTGGAGGGACTAGCCTGGAGTGAGTCGAGCGCATCCCCGTCCTCCGATGCCACCAGTTCCAGCAGGGCCCACAGCGTTGCCTTCAGCGTCTTGTCCACCTAAGGAGGGGACGGCTTGAAGGCAGCAGCAAGCGCAGATGAGGCGGGGGGCCGGGCAGCTGGGAAGGCCGTGCGCAGGCAAGCTATCGGCAGCTCTCCTACCTCCTCCGTCTCGATGGCCTGCCTGTCCAGGCGGCTCCGGATATTCTGGGCTCTGGGCAGAATCTCCTCCCGCAGCTCCAGCTCCACCTGGATCTCAGCCACCTGCAGAGCGCGGCAGCTGAGGCACAGTGCTCGGACCCAGGCCCACGCCTGCGGCCTCGGTGGCCAGTGTGTGATGCCACCAGCCCCTGACACATAATTGAAATGATTCTGAGGCGTGGTAGGGTACAGACTCAGGACAGTGGAAAGCAGGGCCTCACACAGCTCCACGTGCCCCCGTGCACATCACAGCCCCATCCACAGCAGCCAAAAGGTGGGCCCAGCCCGCGCACGTGCCCATCAACAGGTGATGGCTAACCCCAGTGGGCCAGGCGGGCAAGCGGAAAGGGAGTCCCGGCACAGGCCCCGCGTGGGCGGACCTGGAAAGCGTGCTGCCCACTCCACCTAGAGCACTGTGCTCCTTTACGACCTGGCTCTATGGGCTCAAAGTCACGACGCCAACTGGAAGGATCAGATAGGACGCTGAGGGGCAATGAGTTTATATTAGGGGGGAGGGACAACTCAGCAAAGGAGGGTGAGGATAGTCGTGCGGATGTCCTTGACGCCACTGCACTGTGCGCGGGCAACAGTGGGACTGGTTTATCTTCTGCCGCGTAGATTCTCAGCAACAGAATCAATCACATTTAGAAAACACCGTTCTGCTGAGCGAGACAGAGAACACGCACCGTACAGCCCCATCGAGAGGAAATGTCCAGACCAGCGAACAGAGAGACAGGAGGGAGATCAGTGGTTGCCGGGTGGGGAGATGCGGGGATGTTTGTGGAGGGGTAGCTCCAGGGTTACAGGAACTCTTGGGGTGCTAAAATTATTCTAAAATGCACTGGGAGATGGTAGCACAACTCTGACTGGAGGAAAGCCCACTGAATTGTTTACTTCAAAAGGATAAATTGTATGGTGTATGAACTGTATCTCAATAAAGTTGTTCAAAGGAGCTCTGGGGGCACAGTGCCTGAGGCATCTGACTGCTAACCAGAAGGCTGGCGGTTCAAACCCACCAGGCAACCCTCAGAAGGAAGATGGGGCAATCTACTTCCGTAGTGATATAGCCTCAGAAACCCAAGGAGGAGTCGCTAGGAGTCAGATCCGACTCCACAGCAGTGAGTTTGGTTCTTTTGGTAAAGGTGTTTAAAAAAAAGTAAAAATAAAAAAAGACTGGTCAGGGTGGCTGGGGTCTGAGACAGGAGAGGAAGCACCCAGCCAGATAGGAAAATTGCTCATGCTAATTGGCCAAAGAGGAGCTCCGGTGGTGGGTACAGTATTAGGCTGCTAACCTAAAGGTTGGTGGTTCTCCCAGCAGCTACTCTGTGGGAGAAAGATGAGACAGCCTGCTTCCGTAAAGACTGACAGCTTTGGAAACCCGATGGGGCAATTGTACCCTATCCTCTAGGAATGCTGTGAGTTGGAATGGACTCAATGGCAGTAGGTCTGGTTTGGGCTCTGCTGCCGTAAAGATTGACAGCCTCAGAAACCCTGTGCGGCAGTTCCCCTACGTCTTCTAGGGGCACTGTGAGTCGGAATCAACCCCACGGCAGTGGGTGTGTGTGGTTTTGGTTTAACTGGAAAATGAGAATGGCTCTCCCCACAGAGTGGGGATGGGAGGAGAATGCTTCTACAAGGGAGGAATTTCTGTCTTTAACATTGAAAAGTCCTGAAAATTCTCTCTCTCTGCCTCGCTGTCTCTGTCTCTGTCTCTGTCTCTCTCTCTCTCTCTCTCTCTCACACACACACACACACACACACACACACACACGGGGCAAGCTAAGCCCACCTCTCACACACTGCTCTCTTGTCCTTCACTCAGCCGGCTGGTGACTCAGACCTGCCTCGTGCCATGTGGAAGGGGGCAGAGAGCAAGGCAAGGGTTTGGCCCCTATGCGTGCACATGCATGCATGCGTACACGTGCACGCGTGTGTGTGTGTGTGCAGCCAGGTGACCTTGGTGTTCCCCTGTTGAATGTAAACAGTGTCACAAAGCCTCAGCATCAGACATGGCCACTCTCTGACTGTGTTGGGGACAAAGCTGCTGTGTCTGCTGATGTGAGTGATGGCTGTTGCTTTGCCAATCACAGCTTCAGCTTCCCCTCTTCATTCCTCCTGTCTTCTGGATGAAATGTTCCATGTGCCCAGTCATAGAACTTTGCCCGCTTCCTTGAACCCAGCATGCCCTAACACCAGCCCAAACCCTCTAGTCCTTTCTGATGCTCTTACTGAAATGTCCCACAGCTCCTCACAGTGTTCTGTCTCCCTCAAGACAATGAGCAACCAACCCAACCTGTTCCATTACAGGTGTGTTCCTGCTGGTCTGTGCTTGGAGGGAAACTGAACTAAGAACAGGTGGGCTCAGTGGACATCTCCACCCCAAAGACTGTCTTCCAGCCCTCTCAGCCCACTCAACTCCTCACAATTGGCAGCCAGACCTCCAGCACAGGATTAGAAGAATGGGGGAGAGTGGCCACGAGGGAGGACTTTCCAGAGCTGAGTCTGTGCCTGGTCACCATTCAGAGAAGCCCACTGGTGACAGGGCCATTGAGAACCTAACCTGCTTCTTAAGTAGGAACTGACAGCCAAGAAACAGCAGACGTTTGAGGAAAGTTCTAAACTGAAAGACAAAGACCAAGGCGAGCTTGGAAAAAAGCTGCGAGAAAACAGAATGGCGGGAGCAGAAAATTTCAAGAATATTTGAGAAAGTATCGCATCCAGAAAACAAGAACAAAGAGTTATGTTAAAACAGGGATTGAAAAGAACAAAACAGAACTCCTCGAAATGAACATTGAAAGTTTAAAAAAAAATGGTTTTAATTAAACAAGGGACTGGAAGATACATTTGAAGAAAACTCAAAGAAAGTAGGATAAAAGGCCACAGGAAAGACAAAAGACAAGAAAAGTAGAGAATCAACCCAGGAGATGCAACAAATAACAAAAATTACTCAAAGAGAGAAAATAAAATGACCAAAGGAATAACACAAGAAAGTCTCCCCAAAACCTAAGGGCAGACATTCGCAGACTGACAGAGCCCACTGGCTGCCCCACACCGTGAAGGAAAGAGGATCCCCAAGGTGTATCACCATACAATTTTACAACAAAAGGGGAAAAAAGACTATCCTAAAAGCTTCCAGGGAGAAAATTTCCAGCTCATAGACAAAGGTTCCAATCCGGGACAGCAATGGACTTCTCACCAGTGATAATGAATGAAACCCTTTAACCTTCTAAGATTATTTCCAACCTTGAGTTCTATACCCAGCGAAGGGATCCATCAACTGCAATAATAGACTACAGATGTTTTTAGACAAGGTTGGGAAACTAAGAAAGGTGTCCACCACGATAAGGGCGATAAACCGAGAAAGAGAAAGAAGCCACGGGACCCCGGAAACAAAAGGCCCAATGCAGAAGAGAGCAGTAGGCTTTTCTCAGGATGATGACAGAGGGCAGTTCAGGGGGCTCCCAGGGCAGGGCTCCCAGAAGAAGGCAGAGTTCACAGACTCTGGAATGGCTGTCCCAGTTCTGTCCAAGGGTGTGGGCACGAGTTTGGGATAAGGCCACAGAAACCTAAGCAGCACTTCTAAGGTGAGGAAATGATTGATTCCAGACAACAACAACAACAACAACAAAACGGTCCAAGGAAGGAAAAGCACCTGGCTCACCTGTCCACAGCATTTGCCATCAGCGTGGTTTAAATGCTGAATGTTTTGTCAAAAATCTTGGGCTAATGAAATTGGGAGATGTGGACAGCAGGTGTGGATGAGCAGGGGAAATGGTGACAGGGCCAGTGCTTTGAACAGATGGAGGAAAGTGCTACAAGCAGCAGCTCCAAGTGGTGACAGGGGCTGTCTCTGGAGCATAGGGCCAGGAAGGCGCATGGTGGCCAACGGCTGGGTGTCACTGGAAGCGTGGATCCCGTTTGCCTTTTGGGACCGTGTACATGTTTTTAAGCTATTACGCTGCTCAAAGTACAAGCCACATAAGTAACGGTTCAGGCCTGCTGCAAAGGCGCACCCGGTCGCCCCAAGCCACGTGTGATGCCCATTAGGTAAGCCGTCAGCAGAAGAAAGCAACTCAGGGGACAAGCAAGGGGCTGCCTGATGACATCCCACTGTGGGAGTGGCTGGGTCCCCCCCCCTCCCAGGTTTATGAAAAACTGAAAACCACACAGAAAAGCTAAAAGAACAGTCCACGGGTGGCCCTCAAGCCACCCGGCCCCTGGCATCAGCACTTCACAGTGTGCGTCAGAGTGGAACCGTGCTGCACAGGGCTCTCAGGGGGGCTCTTTCCGAAGCAGACGGCCCGGCCTTTCTTCCCAGCTGCCTCTGGGAGAACTCGAACCGTCAACTTCCTTTCAGTTAGCAGCCAAGAGCGCGAACCGTTCGCACCACCCCGGGATGTCTTCTGACCCTCAGCCAACTGGAAGCCGTTCCCCTTCCCCAGCCACACAGTGAGGAGCAGAGGAACACAGCCCCGTGGCGCGCCGGGAGGCTCACCTCATCCCCCTCGTGGGGCTGGTAGTCGAAACGCAGCGGGGGACAGAAGGCGGCTGCGTGCACCTCAAGCACCTTGGCCTTGTCCCCCGGGGGATCCAGGGCCTCCAGAGCCTCTTCCAGGCTGCTGAGGCCCTGCACCTGGGAGGCCTGGGTGCGGCTCTCGGCGGCCGTGTAGCTCCGGAGCACCTGGCCCAGGGCCAGGTGGAAGCCTGTGTCACAGCACTGGGGGAGGAAGGAAGACGTCCAGGAGGGCCCTGGCCCGCTGGGCCCCCCGCGCCCCCCGCCCCCAGGACTCACATCCATGAGGTCCAGCACGTCCCGCAAGTAGTAGTTCCTGACGGCCGCGTTCACGCTGGCCAGGCTGAGCAGGTACTCGTTCCGGGCCTTCGTGCACTTGAGCTTGTGCTCCTGGAACTTGGCCTGGCGCTATTTGGACGACAGAGCCAGGCCAGGGTCACCTACCGTCCCCCCTCCGTGGACACCTAGCCCCCGGTGGCCCCCAGGGCCCTCCAACTCAACATGGCCAGCCACCCTCACATCCCCTTACACTGCTGTGCACAAGCCCTCGGTCCGGTGCACAGTCCTGCCGTCCACACTGCTCAGTGGCAGCCTGGGAGCCAGCCAGCCTGACACCCCCAGGCCTTCACCCGCCACTTCGAAGCCACGCAGCCGTCCTCACCTGCCCCCGACCCATCCCTTGCTCTGGGCCTTCCTCATTCCTGTCACCCCTCAGGGTAAATCACACTCCCTTGAGGGGCTGGGGACAGTCTGAGAAATTTTGCTGAACACAATCAGGACACTTCATAGTTTGAGTCCCAGGTAAAAGGGGCGGGAAGGGCCAGGCCAGGCGAGGACAACGGCTGCAGGGCCCAGGGGGACTAGAGATGGAAGGAGTGGCTGAGGGGACAGGTCGTGTCAGAGTCGAAGGGATGGAAGGCGCTGTCATGGCACCCGTCACCCCTCAGAACACTTGACAATGTCCCTCCTCTGCTCTCTGCACTCCAGACCTTCACCCCTGTCATTGCCCAACTTGGTGGCTCAACCCTGCCATTGCTTCTTCGGAGCCTTCTCCCAGCAAGTCACCCGACCACCCAGCTGGCGGCCCTCCTTAGCCCTCTGAGGGCGGGGCGGGCAGGAGGCAAGGCCCCTGCACGTGGGAGCCGGCAGGAGCCTCATGCTGTGCCGTCAATGCACTTTGTGGGGATCGTCACCAAAGCTCTCGCAATTCAGCTACCTCATGTGCAAAACGGGGATCAGGGCTGGGAGGGCACTGTGGGAGACTGCACGGGCCACCCCTGGCCGGGGGCTGGGCTCTCGGAGCCCCTGGGGCCCGCTGTACTTAACAGCTGTGGCCCGTGGCATCATGCTGGCACCACCCCTCTCCAGGATGTGGAACCAGCAGGGCAGGTGACGCAAGTCCCGCCTTCGACATCGGGAGCACACGAGCCTGGCCGATGATGTGTGGCTCCCTGTGCCCGTCTCACACAGCAGCCGGCAGGCCAGTGAGGGCCAGGGGCAAGGCTAGGGCTCAGAGCCTTTGGAGACAGGCAGCAGACAGACCGGACCAGGCAGGCCAAGTCCAAGGCGCCCTCCAGGCCCACCTTCTCCACCAGCCGCCCTCCCTTCTTGAGAGAGCTCTTCCGGGAGGGCCCTGCGTCGCTGGCAGCAGTGCTGGTGGCAGTGGCACTGCGGCCAGCTCGCTTCTCCTCCTGGCGCTCGGCTTCACGGAGCTTGGCCTCAGCGTTCACGCTTTCTGTGCGGTACGCCTGGTACGTCTTCCTGGCCTGTAAGAAGGACCAAGGCAGGGCAGCCAACCCTGAAGGCCATGGCCATGGCCAGCCCCTTCCACTCCCCCTCCTAGCCTGATTGCCCTGGGCCCAGAAGCAAGACCTGAGGCCCAGGGAGCGGGGGTGCCTTGTCCAAGGTCCGCCCGACCTAGGCCTCCCGGGCCACGGGCACCCGATTCGCCTCGGGCCTGGCCCTCTGCGAGGCGTTTCCAGGGTCGTCCTCACCGTCTGAAGCTCAGATACCACGTCCAGGATCTCCTCCTGCAGCTGTTGCTCTAGATCCTTGCTCTAGGGGTGGGGGCGGGTGGGGAAGCAGTGTGAGCACTGGCCTGCCCCTCGGCAGCACCCACCGCCGTCTTGGGACAGCCCGCCACCCCTCAGCTCGGCATTCGAGGCTCCACCCACTTGAGCCCTGCCCTTGGTCACCTGGGGCCCCTGTGCCTGATGCCCACGCGGCCGCCCACACCCCGTGGCTCAAGCAAGGCCCCTACCTTCCTGACTATGCGTGCCACATCCTCCGAGAGGTGGGTCAGGCGCTGGGCCAGGGGTCCGGCCAGCACCTCACTGAGGGCCGCGCTGTCCCGGCTCTGCTGTCGTGTCTGCTGCAGCAACACAGTCCAGCAATGCAAGGGCGACAGGAGGGATGGCTCTTTCCTGAGGGCACAGGCGCACTAAGACCTGGGCCTGGCCGGCCCTGGGCCGACCAGCCTGCCGGCACAGTGCCTACCGGAAGCTTTGGTGCTCGCGGCTGCTGCCCAGGCGGCCGCCACGGCTGGAGAAGCGCTCGGCCAGCTTGTCCAGGCCCCTGGAGTATTCGAGCTCCACCTCGGCGCGGCGCCGCATGAACTCGGCCAGCTCCTGCACCAGCTCCCGACGCAGGTCGCCCTGCAGCTCCAGGCAGCGCAGCTGCTCGCTCAGCTGCCAGCGGATCTCTGTGGGGACGGGGTCTCAGCACAGGCGCAGAGCCCAGAACCCCGTTCTCATCTGGCCCCAGGGCTGCTGGGCGCCTGGACTAAGGGCTGGGGCGAGAGGAGACGCAGCTGCCCCTGAGAGCAGGACGTCTGCGTTCCCAAGGCTGCCGGAAGTGGCTGAAGAGGGCAGCGAAAAGCACCCCACGGAGAGCGGGTGCAAAGGCCGAGAGGGGGCAGGAGAGGCCCATGTGGGGATCACAGGCACCCCGCCCTGCTGCCCCATCACCAGCCAGCTGTCCCTCTCTTTGGCTTCCTGTCTCGTTGGCCCCTGGAAAGCCCCAGCTTTCGTCCCCTGCCACTTCCTTCCCCTTTGGTACCCAGGACCCAGGCCAGCCAGCAGGGGCAGTGGCCAGGGGCTGGCTGGACTCACAGGGGCCCCACTCCCCATCGCCTACCCACTCACTTCCCACAACAGAGCTCAGCCCGCGGCCCCACCACTGGCCTGCAGCGATGTGGCAAACCTGCAGCAGGCAGGCAGCCTGAGCGACCCATGCAAAAGTCCTCACGCCCACTGGCTGGGTGCTGCTCCCAGGCAGCCCCGCAGGCACTGGGGCTGCTGGGCCCAGAAGACCCGCCCACCTGCCAATCTTTGTTCACATCCCCAGAGAGAGGATGCCAAACCCGTATCTGCTCCCCGCCCCCCCAGCCCAGCGTAAGCAGAACACTGGCCAAGCCCCTGCTCTCTGGGAGCTGGCCTGTCAGTGGGGGAGCCAGACAGCAAGTGACCTGGGGGCAGGGGGTGCCTAAGGAGGTGAGCGAAGCAAAGGACAAGCAGGACCGAGGTGGGTCGAGAGTGGTCTCTCTGAGGAGTGACATTCAGGCAGATAGCCAGTGTGGCTGGGCCGGGCGGCTGGAGAGGCCATGGGGACAGACGGCATAAGGCCCGTGACCACAGGAAGACTCGGAGCACGCAGCCCACTCAGCAGCTACTGCGGGACACCAGGGAGCTGGCCTGGGAGGAGGTGAGGAGTGGCGGGGTCAGGCCGGCGGCTCGAAAGAGCGCCACTGCGAATGCGCCACTGCCAACAGCTTTGCTCCTCCCGGTGACTCCCCAGGGCCACAGGGTGTGCGGCAGCCGGCCCAGCATCTGGTCCCTTCCTCTGACTGCCCAGGTGGCCTCTCAACCCGTCTCCATGCACCTCAGGCCCACTTCCACCCACCTCAGGGAGCGGCTCCTGGAGCTGTCATCCTAAGCCTCCTCCTGTCATGTAGTTGATTGCGACTCATAGTGACCCCCTTTGGGTTTCCAAGGCGGTAAATCTTTAAGGAAGTACATTGCGCAACCTTCCTTCCGAGGAGTGGCTGGTGGGTTTGACCCGCCAACCTTCTGGTTAGCAGTCAAGTGCCTTAGGCGCCACGCCACCAGAGCCTGATCAAACCAGGTGGGGACTTCCGGCCAGTGACACCGACACAGAGCAGGCCAGAGCGCAGGGCCCTGGGTGAGCGGGATGGCCAGGCTCCAGTCAGAAACTTCTCAGTTCCGTGAGCTAGTTGAAATGGGCTTCATGTTACTTGAAACCAGAGGAATCTTAATGGAATCAGGGTAGCAGTTTTGGATAAGAGTAAATTTCATTTCATTCCACAAATGGTGTGAGAACCGCCCTGCCGGACTAGACCTAGACGCGACCCTGCCGCCACGCCTGTCGCAGGGGCGTTACGTTCCCTGGGAATCCACTCCAGAGACTAATGCTTCTGTGACAACCAACAACCACTAAAGGCTACCCTAAGCCAGACCTCATCCTGCATCAGACATGCACACTGCCTGGGGTCAAGACAAGGGAGCTTGTGAATTGCAGCCCGAGGCCCCTAGCACAGCCAGAGACCGGCTCTCAGATCTCAGCCCAGACGGGAATCTAGCAGGGAACCCTTGCTGGACCTCCTCTCAACTTAGGTCTGGCCCTCTCCCCACCCTCTTCCCGACTACCCTCGCTTTCCCTCTGTTTACACCCCCCCGCCCAGCTAGAGCCCTCTGAGGGCAGGGGCTAGCTGTCTCCCGCACACATCTAGTCTCAAATGGAGGGATGGGATCCTCCCTCCCTTGAATTCAGAGCTGGGACTCGGGCCCCACTGACGCTTCCTGTGAGCGGGGCACTCGCTCTCACTTCTGCCTCCAAAGGCCCGGCTGCGAGGCCCTTTCGGAAGTGGCCCTGTTTTTCTAGCATGGTAGGAAGTTGGGGTTTGGTTTGGTTTGGTTTTTGAAAGGGGGATGGCGACCCAGAGCAGGCAGGGGCCATATCAAAGGCTGCCTTCCTCAGCTCCAGTACCCCACTCTGTGTCCCTTAGGACAGGATGGTTATCAGTATCTTCATCTGAAAATGATGAAAGTGAGGCTTGGAGAGCTGGCTTGTCCTGTGTCAAGTAGCCTCAGGCTGCCTCTCCGAGGCGAGGACGCGCGAGGACGCTGCTGTACTCGTGTATACAGTCACACCGAATAATTACAGTGGAACCTTCATCTCGGGGTTATAAGGACCTTCAAGAGTCATTTCATTCTACGGTTGCAAGGCTAGCGTGCGGGGGAAAATAGCCCTGGGCTCCAAGTAAGCTAGCTGTGTGACCGCAGGCAGTCACTGCGCCTCTCTGAGCTTCAGTTTCTGAACTGGTAAAACAGAGAGACTCACAGTGCCTGCCTCCCAGGTCACGGCGCAAGCGATATGGAGTCACACATCTGAAAGCCCTGGGGAACTTTAGGGCCCCCAACTGCTGCCACTGGGTGCCACCTTCTTTCCTTTGAGAAAGCCACCATGCTCTGAATACTGCCAACCAGGAGGGTGTCCTGCTGATTTGACTGTGATTTGCATGGAGTGTTTATCGGAACCCAGAGATCTAACAATGAGGGGGGCCCTGGCGACTCTCTCAAGTTGCTCTGCCGCCCTGATCCAGCCACAGTGAGCCTCCACTCTGAGCCACCTCACTGCAGAAGGGAAGGGAAGGTGTGGCCCAGGGACTGGAGTCAGGCTGGTCTTAGGCGCCTTGCTCCCTCGCCGCCCCCTCAGCAGGGTCAACGTGGTCGATCTCACCCTGGCTGGTATCCCCTCTTTCCGGGGGGGGGGGGCACCTGGCCACACCTGTCGTGTCTTCCCCGGCCCCCGGGATCTCCCCTGCTCCCTCATGAGGTGCAGAGAGAACCAAAGCGGGGTGGGGAGGCCCGCAGAAGCTGGGGCTCCCTCCAGAGACCGCAGGGCCGAGAGCTGAGGGGACTTTCTGGGCTCAGCAACCGCCCGGCAAGCAGCGGGGGCACCCACACGAGCCCGCGGCCTCCGCGGGGAAGGGCCCGCAGCGCCCGGAGCCCTCTCACCTTTCACTTGCGTCTCATACTCAGCCTGCGGCCCCCGCTCCCTGCGCAGCTTCCCGTGCGCGGCCATGGCCGCGCCGTCGAGCCCCGCTGCTCCCACGCGCCCGCGGCCAGCCCAGCGGCGGGACCTCCAACGGCGTCGCAGCAGCTCTGAGCGCCGGCCCCGCCCTCGGCGGGACGGCCCCGCCCCCCGCGCCCCGCCAGGCACCGGCCGCCCAGGGGCTCCTGGCCCCGGCCTGGCTCGCCCCTCCTTCGCGCTGGGTCCCCATCTGAGCTGGCTTGTCCCCAGCAGCCGCGCCACCATGGGAGCCCCCAGCAGCCCAGCCAGCTGGCTGCCCCTGACTGCCATCCCACACCGCCGGCCCTCACTGCCTCCTCCGCCTCCTGGCCCTTGGGCCCTCACTGCCTGTGGACAGCGATTCTGCAGCTCCTGTGGCCCTGGACCCCAGGATATCAGAGGGGCTCCCCTCTTCCTTAGTCACAGCCCCTAGAAGCCAGCTGGGGTGGAAAGTTCTCACTGGGGAGGGAGGCCAGCCACCAAGAACAGGACGTTGGCCTCGGTTCCCTCCAGGCGCCTTCAGGGCAGGGGGAGAGGGCCTTGGCCTGAGGTTCCCCTTCTGCTCCGCCTGGTGGGGAGGAAGGAGCCACATTTCTCCGTAGGTGGTTACCGTTTCCGGCTACCGGAAGTGGTTCTTCTACCTCTTCTCCCCACACTTTTGCACCTGCCCGGGCCTGGGCCTGGGGGTGGGGGCAGCCCTGCCCCTGACCCCTCAGAACCTTAAGGGAGCGAATCTTGGGTCTTCCGTCCACCCCTCTCCACCACCTCGGAGCCACAAGACAACAGCTTTTATCCAGTAAATTGGGAAGGCAGGGTGCAGGTGGAGGGTGGCAAGCCCACTAGACAAGTGTCTTAGGTTTGGTGGGAGGGGAGTCCTTAGGTAGGGTACAGATGGTGGCAGAGGATCCGAGGCACTCAGGCCCCAGGCTTTGGGCC